GGCCCCCACCACCACAACCCTCTCACCCCCACCACTCTCTTTTATCTTCGCCGCAAGGGGGCCCCCATGACCTACCAGGGGGCCCCTATGAGCTACCAGGGGGCCCCCGTGGTGTACCAGGGGGCCCCCATGAGCAGCGTGGGGGCCCCTGTGAGCAGCGTGGGGGCCCCTGTGAGCAGCGTGGGGGCCCCTGTAAGCAGCGCGGGGGCCCCTCTGAGCAGCGCGGGGGCCCCTGTGAGCAGCGTGGGGGCCCCCGTGAGCAGCGTGGGGGCCCCCGTGAGCAGCGTGGGGGCCCCTGTGAGCAGCGCGGGGGCCCCTGTGAGCAGCGCGGGGGCCCCTGTGAGCAGCATGGGGGCCCCCACGGGCAGGTGGGGGCCCCCGGTGGGCAGGTAGGGGGCCCCCCGGGTGGTAGTGGGGAGCTTGGAGGGGGGCCCCCCGAGGGGCCCCCCGAGGGGCCCCCGTCTTGTGGAGGGACCTGCCAGCCAACGGCTGCGCAGGGTACAGTGCTGGGGGGCCCCCAGGGGCCCCTAGAATGTTGTAGGGGGGCCCCCCGTGCTGCTGAAAGACTGGATCGTATGGTCGCCATGGGTCTGCTGCTGCTGCTACAGGGTGTGATATGAGGAGATCAGAGGCGATAACAAAAAAAGAAAAAAAAGAAAAAATAAATATTTTAATTAGTTTCATTTTTTTGGTTTATAGAGGAGAAGGCCGAGCGGGCTCAGCAGCTGGGGCCCCCGGGTTTGTTGTGAGGGGTTGTAAACCCTAAACCCTAAACCCTAAACCCTAAACCCTAAACCCTTGAAAAATAAATAATAAATAATAATAAATAACAAAAAGTTTAATTAAAAAAACAAACAAGCCAGGAGCAGAAGAGCAGCACCAATGGTCGTTCTAGCAGCTCGAGGCTCAGCAGAAGCAGCAGCAGCAGCAGCAGCAGCAGCAGCAGCAGCAGCAGCAGCAGCAGCAGGAATATATGGTGCTATATAATACATTGTTGTGTATATTTTTTTGTGTTTTAGTATTTATTTATTAATTTATTTTAATTTATTTATTTATTTTGTTTTTATTTCTCTCTTTTTTGTTGCTGAGGCTCAAGCGGGCTACGACCGCGGCGAGCGGCGGTGTATATGGACCGCGCCGGTGCAGGCTGGTGAGCGCTCCTATCATCTTATGCATCTTCTCTTATGTAAATAAATAAATAAATAAATAAATAAAATAAAATAAAATAAATAAATAAATAAATAAAATAAATAAAATAAATAAAAAACAAATACATAAATAAATAAACACTACGTATGAACCCTAAGCTGCTGCTGCTGCTGCTGCTGCTGCTGCTGCTGCGCTATTCACAATATAAAAAACAATAGAAATACAAAAGGTATTCGAGTTCTTGAATTTCTTCAAAGAA